AGAGCTTTTCTTGAGGCAGCACATCACCCTCAGCCACTGGTTTTGGTTTTGATGCTGGAGGTGCTACCTGGCCTTGTCACTTCAGCATGTGAACACTCCGTATGAATAGCCACAGAACTATTGGGGTAAAACTTGGGGGGCACTTGCCCCCTGCCCTCCCCCCACCCCAGTTGCCCAAGCGGGACAGGACAAGCTCCCACTTCTCCTCAGGATGGGGGTGGGGGCAGCATCCCTGCCACAGGCAGAGTGGGCAGGGAGTTTGTGTACTGTTAATATCCAGGCAGAAGAGCCAGGCTTAGCTAACACTGTGTTGCTCATGATGGGGAGGCGCTTGCAAGAGCTGGGGCAACCCAAGCATTGCTGAGTCCCCCCGACACTGCAGAGCACCAAGTGCAGCCAGCATGCTGGCTGGAAATATCCCTCACTCTTCCCCACCACCCCCGGCAGGGGAGATCAAGGACTCAGCTCCTCCAGRGCTGGCTGGATCAGGAAAGGGAGGTTTTTCCCATGTCCCCTGTGTTGCTGTGTCTCTCTTAGACTCTATGGATCAGAGAGAGGGAATGGGCAGAGGGAGTTTGAGCCCAGGAAGCGCTGACCCACTGCTCTGTAACTCCACCRGGCTCTTTAACTGCGAAGCTTAATTTGGGTGTTCAGCTTTATCCCTGCAGGGGTCCAAGGCCCCTTGCAGAGGGAGCCAAGGACATCTGCCCATTTTGCTTTAGCCTCGTGGACAAGCGCAGCTCCAGAGACATGTAAACAAGGAGCAGAGAGACAAATTAAACTCAGCAGGGTGGGGCACTGCTGAGCAGTGTCACAAACCTTGATGAGGAAGCAGAGCCCCTACGGAAGGATCTGGGATTTGGRGTGACTGTGAATCCTTTGGGACCTTTGTTCTCCCATATTATTCCAATAATCTTCCCAGATTTTTTTCCCTAAGCCCACGCGGCTTTAAGAAGGATACCAGTGGATTCTGAAGAGGATGTTCATGCTGCAGCCCTGAGAAACCTGCTCCTAAGAGCCATAGTGAGACTTTTTGGGAAGGGATGTTTTTCACCAGCCAGTGCAGGTGTGTTGGGAAGGGGTTCTGGGACGAGGTGCCAGATGGGCTTTGGGAGTTGGCTGCAGCCAAACTATTCTAGTAGCACCATCTGAATGCAGGACAGAGGTCAGGCTGTGCCGAGATGTTCCCAAGGCATTGGGTGCATCCTGTCAGAGGTTTGTCCTGGGGTAACTGGGTCTGCTMAGTAAACACCTCACAGCTTCTCTGACAGACAAGCCTTTGGGTTTCCGGTGTGCACAAGCACAAGGTGAACTTTCGGGGGATATTTTCTGCTACATGTGGTTTTGCTTGTGCGTGCATCAGTCACTTCACCTACCCCTGATAGCAGAGGAAGTGCTCACATGARTCCAGTCACTCATGTGTGCACGAGCCCTTGCAGGACACTGCCATCCCTCCACGCTCCCGGAACACCCATACTGCCATGTCCACCACAGCGATCTCAGCCGATCCGAGCTGACCTCAGCCAAAGCCAGCCCTCCAGGTGTGGGATGGGAGCAAATGGCACTGGAAATCGAGCTGTCTGACTCTGGGATGAAGACATAATTCTTAAATCTCTCATTTTATATCTTTTCTGGTTTATTTGTTTAATAAAAGGACTCAGTTAGCCAGAGACCCAGGCTCCTGGGGCTTTCATTTCTCTGCAGAGGAGATAAGAAAAGCACATTTCCTTATCCAGTGAGTCATTTTTTCTGCTCTTTAATTATGCATTTGTGCGATTATCAAGCGTATTCAGCTCTGAGATGCAAACAGCTCAAACTACTCACCAAGCTTTAACTTCTACTATTCCAAAAACKATCAGCCACAGTTATGAAGGGTAAGGGAGGCAAAGATGGGGGAGACAAAAAGGRAGATAGCTGATGCCCAGAGCCTGGGGCTTTGCTCATGAGCAGACCCACGTGTTGAGTGCTGTTGAGGTAGTCAGTGCTGGTTTTCTCCTTGAATAAGCATTATCATGTGTAAATTCAAGCATATCATCTTGGCCCAGGAGGAGGCAGACAAGCTGGGAAGAGGGCATGGAGGACCTGTAGAGCATGATAAAGAGGGCTGAGAAAATTGGGGGGGAATAGGGTAAGGTCAATGGCAGCAAGGAGGCCGCAACATCCTTCCCTGTAACAGGACCGGGGAGCACCTTATTCACAGGAGGGCAGGATGGCTGYCATCACTGGGCTTCCCACTATGCATTTGAAACTTCAAGTTTTCTTTCCGTGTACTGAGATGGGAGCTGTCAGCTCCTGAGCTTTAATATAAATCTCGCCCTCCATGTTGAAAGGAATGTGTGGATTACTCGGTTTGGGCTTTCCCAAGTGTGCATATTTTACTGGAGGGCTTACAGACTTAATCTGTAAGCGTGGTMGAGCAGAATCCGGGAGCCATTTCCCACCCCACACTTTTTGCCAAGCAGGGAGGAGAGACAGGAGGTAGAGGGGCAGGATGACAGTCCTATGGTGGGACCCACAGAAATAGGGGCTGGGGATCACTGAGAGATGATCCATATGGGGGAAGTACAGTGGGGGCATTTGAGAGGAGAGGAAAATGGGAATGATGGAGGAGCCTTTGGAAAAGGAGACTAGCAGATAGAAATATCCCAGRGCAAGAGGAACAGCAAAGTGTGTGGAGCAGGTATCCTGACAGAGAACTCAATGTTTTGTGGTGGTCCTTTGCCTACATGCATGTCTTCAGCCCGACCAGCCCACAAGACAAGGTATTTTCTGGGCCCTAGACCCTACCCTCACACTTCTGAAAGCTGCCTACTGGGGATAGTGAGGATTCCAGGTGCCCCCTCTTTGCCAGGGCTGGCTCCTCTCCACTGTGGTGCTCACATGTGGATTGGAGCAAGCCTTGGCTTTTATTTATCTCTATGCTGTGGGTCATGGCACGGAATCACAGCTTTCCATCCCCTGGAGCTGCTCCTGGTGCCCTTCTGCTGGACACCTGTCCCTCCAAATCCCATGCCTGCACCCAAGCCCTGGTCCTCACTTGTGGTGTGCAAGAGGCAGAAGATCAGCTWAAGTGGGATGTGGAGAGATGTCCTGTTGTTTGAGCCAGTTCCCCTGGCAGGTATGAGTAGGGGCAGTATCCAGGCAGAGGGTGCTGGGYTGGCTGTGCCATTTGTGGCTCAGGGCTGTGCTAGAGAGGGAAGTGCTTGGTGTGCCCCCGCTCAGCTGGGAAGTTTTGACTAAGATGGAGTGGGAATTACTGAGCCACAGGCACAAGAATGATGGCCAGGCTTCGCAGCTCCTCAGTGCAGCCCACAGCCCTCTGGCAGCCAGGAGTGGCACAGGAGTGAGGGAGCAAGCATCTGAGCACACTGGCTGCAAGGGAAAATGAAATCAYGGCAGGTATGGAACTGGTGGGCAGTGACCAGTTTTTGATTAGGACTTTGGCTTGTCTGGAGCCCCACAGTGCCCAAGGGGAGGGCTGAGACTGTGTTGGGGCTGCTTTGGGACTGCTATGATACAAATTCCTCTGGGAATGCAACTGGCAAGGGGGGAGATATGCTGTAGGACAGTTCCTGGCCTGCAGGGCATGGGGTACTCAAGAATTACACTTAGGCTGAGATCTAGCTTGGGGAGCTGGTGACTGCATCCCCCTTGGGGCTTCAGGGGGTGGGATGTGGAGGCTGTGGGCTCAGCTTGCCCAGCAGTCACTGGAGAGGAGCAGGCACATTCAGGGACCAAGTCCTCATTCCTGTCTCAGAGGATCTCAGTTGCACAGTGGGGGTGCCTGGTCACCTTGAGCCAGAGCACCCTTTGGATTTTTTCCTCGTCTCCTCCCAGCCTTGGTCCAGGACAGTGGGCAGCAGAGGCCTCGCTGGAAAGAGTCCAGATGCTGTAGCTGCTGGAAGGACGTGACTCTAGCAGTAAAAAATTAGGGGTCTCCTGGCTAAGGCAGGTCACTGATGTTGCTTCCCTCAGCTGAGAGCCAGCCAACAACTGTGGCTGGTCCCTTTCTTTCCTGTGGAGTGACAAAATAGAGGATGTGACTTTTGTTCAGTAGGAATGGAAGAGATCCACCTACAGCACTGAAGTCCATCTCTTCAGATCTCAAGCATTGAGCTTTAACATGTGGGTACTGATGRTGGAACATTTCTCTTGCCCCTGATCAGGAACACCTAAGACCGGTAACAGTTTTTTTAGTCCCTTCCAATGGTTTGGGGACCAGGCTTGCTYGGTGTGACCTGCTTTGCCCATGCCCTGGGCATTTACTGAGCAGAACCAGATCTGAGCCCTGGAGAATGAGACATGGTGCTGAGGAGCCATTGGTCTAGGTCTGTGATAAAGAGGATGAAGAGAGCAAGGTGATGGAAKGCACCGTCAGTAGGGCTGGAGAACATACAGTTGGCATGCCCTCAGARCAGTCACTGGCAGGATATGTCCTGGGGGCTGTGGGAGCTTTTAAAAGGGAAACATCAGTCCCCTTTCATTCTTTTCTCCTCTGGTGCTTTTCTTCATTTTCAATCCAAGCCACATCYGTGGCCCTGGGATGGAGTCTTGCAAAAAGATCTGTGCACAGGAAAGCCTCCTGTAGACACTGGAGGAGGCTGAGGGGCTTTTCACTACAAGCAAGGGAAGGTGCAGGCTGGGGGACACCCCTGGGCTGGGGGCAACATGCAGGTGGGCAGGGGAGGAGTGAGGATTGAGGGGGTCAGGCTGGGACACAATGCCGCTGGGTACGAGGTGCTGCGTGGCTGAGGCACACGCGGGGATTTCAGAAGCAGATTTTGGAGGAGGGGGGTAGTTTGARGGCACATTGCACAGGCAGGCAGGGGTAGGGCTTGGTCGATTGCTCTCCTCCTCCCCAGTGAAGATCCGCCCCAGGCCGAGCACAGCGATTGTGAGCCCCAAGGGAGAAGACGCAGCTTGACAGACTGTATCTCCCTCTGCCACGGGGCCTGGGGCGCTGCGATTTCACACTCGGGCGGCCCTGTCACTGCCACGCCATGCAAGAGCTGGGCTCTGACTCCCASTCTGCCATGTCCTCGTCAGGAAAAGCTGCCATTGCCCCTTCCTGCCTCCCCTTCGAGTGCTTCGACACCCTCACCAAGTCGTGCATCAAGTGCTCCGACCTATTCAAGGACAACACAAGTAAGGGGACAAGGGCAGCTGCGGTCTGAGCTCCCCAGGGCTGGGTGGTGGTGGGTCAAGAARGCTGGGGTGGAAGGCACCTTCTCCTGTGGAAGTGGCTGGCAATGGAGGATGAAGCACTGCCTTCACCTAAAGCAGAGGGGAAGAGGATGGCCAGTTCAGTGAGAGGAACATGGTGTAGGGAGAAGTTGGATGATGCTCCCCAGGGTGAGGCTCACAACCTGCCCCAGGGGTGACTGTGGGAAGAACAGCTCTCACCTCCTGCCACCCAGGCATGACAGGGAGCAGGATAAGGGTCTCATCAAGCAGGGGGACGCTTCATTGCTGGTCGTGGGTGGGTAGCAGTTAAGTGCCACACCTCTCTGCCACCACAGCCCTCAGGCCAGCTATCCAGGTGCTGCTGCCCTCCTTCCCAGCTTCAGCTCTCCCCCTCCTGACACTACCGGTATCTCGCCCCACAGCAGAGCCTACCCTGGCACCCAATGTGACCAGCACCTTCCTGATCTTCGGGGTCCCAGTGGTAGTGGGGATCATCCTGGTTCTGGCTGTCCTCTGTGCCTTCCTAGCCTGCAAGGTGGGAAAGAGGAGGAGAAAGGAGAAGGTAGCGGATGAAAAAGACAAAGGTAGGGGACTCTTCCTTTCCCTCTCACAACACCCTGAGAGCTCTGGGGTATATGGGATCGTTTACTGCTGGCTCCCCTGAGGCACATCCCTGTCCAGGCTAGCTCCTCCACCTCTACATTGGCTTCAAAGGCTTTTTGGGGCATCTGAATCACCACCTCAGTGGCAGTGTCCTGCATTCCTTGGGAACCTATGCCTGTACCTGACTGCCAGCAYGACCCTACTGAGCCATCCTTCCCTTTTGCTAGGTCTCCCAGTGCCTTTGTCTGCTAAAAGCATGTACTGGCACCATCCCCTCTCCACAGGGGACACCTATGGAACACTAGTAAGTAGCTCTGTGAGCTCACTGGTGAGAGCCCTCTCCCCCAGTAGCCAGAGGGCTATGGAATGAGGGTTGTGGGGGCASTGGTGGACAGCCAGGTATGCTTCCAGAACCAGCCTCTCCCCATGAAGCTGCAATGGGGGTACTGTGTGGACTGCCCAGCTTGCTTCTCGTGTTTGGATGCCCAGCATCCTCCAACATGCACCCCGAAGACCCCCCTGGGGTGTCAGGGACAGCCCCATTGACAGTACACTGCAGCACTACACAGAGTTATCTGGTGCATCAGAATTAGGTCTGGGGTTCCAGGCATGGGGCTGAGCCTCTTCTGGCAGGGTACTTCCAGGAGAGTAAGGCTGCAGTGCTTCATGATGGCTCATTTTGTTGGGGAGGCTTTTTCCTTCCTCGGGGACCCCTGCACTGGCACTGACTCAACCTTGAACAATCTTCTCAGAAGCGGTCTTGCCTGGCTTCACTCCTCCCCTTTCCCAGGAAGAGGGGGTATGGCTCCCTGGGACCCCAAGAGGGGCTGCCTCACGGGGATGCTGGCACCCACCACTGCCCCATCACCCAGGTGGGTGTTCACAGCGGGACAGCTGGTCCTTGTGCCCTGACAGACCKGGGGGTCATTACCCGAGGCCTTTCTGCGCTGCGAGAGCCCATGACGCACATGCTGAGGAAAAATACCAACAGCGAAAGAGAAGGGAGAAATCCCATGGTGAGGGTGATCTGGCCATTATGGAGAGTGTAGGAGGCACTACTCAGTCTCCTGTTGCATGCCTTGGTCCCCATCCCCCTCGCTCCCCAAGGCTACACCATAGCAAGCCCACTGCTGCAGCACTGGATGTGTGGAAAGTGGCAGGAGGCTTGGGGCTGGAGGCACACGCCTGTATTCGAAGTGTGTAAACAAGTCTATTTTTAAGTGGGAGGCAGTCGGGGAGGGCAGGCCGCCATGGGCTGGGCTGTTCTGCTGCCGGCAGGGTTTAGCAAGAGGACTTAAAGTGGAAGTGCAAGTTTCAGCCTTTCTCCATTGTCCTTCAGCAGGGGGAAAACCCCATCAGTTGTAAGCAGGAGCAATTCTGCAGCAGGAGAGGTGTGGTGGAGACCTTGCAGACTCCTCCTATTCCAGCTCCATCTTCCCGCCTAGGGACAGGACCCTCTCCCTGGCACCTGCCTGGAGGTGCCACTTTGTGGGCCCAGTAACCCCCTTTTCTTGTCCCTTCCCAGAAAACATAGATGCTGCCAGCTCCCTGCCCAGCCAGGACCCTGCCGTGCCAGAGGGAGATGGTGCCCTGAACCCAGCCCCATGCCTGCATCTTGATGGGAGCCTGAAGATGTCAGAGCCACCCAGGAAATCCAGGGCAAAGCAGAGGCCATGCTGCCAGGGCAGTGCTGATGGCAACGTCGTTCTGCTCTCCACTGTGTACTCCCGGCATGAGGAATGCAACCACAGCTTCCCGCTGCCCGCCACTGAGCTGGGGGCCACAGCACTGGTCACCACCAAAACCACCCAGAACTGTGCCAGAGAGGAGAGAGTCTGAGGGCAAGGGGAATGGGGCTGGAGTGTTCTGGCTGATCCCTGTGGACACTGGCAGCCTGTGCCCAGGATGAGCAAAGCCTTCCACGGGTATGAGCTCTCTGAGAACCAGGTTTTGCCTTTAGTAAGATCAGCTTTTTAAGATAATTGTCTTTTTTGTGCTGAGTCTCAGGTTACACTTGTAAATGCTGGAGGAAGCCAAAGTGGATCACACTGACTTACAATGAACTGTTGACAYCTGCCATAGCTGAACTATTGGGAGGAGGCAGAGGAGACACGGCTGGTAAGGATGGAGTGTGGCAGGGACTGATGTGCCATTTGCAAGGCAGAGATTGTGTCTGGACAGGTCTCTTGCTGGATGGGCAATTCCTGAGAASATGGGGCTGCAACAGCAGAAACAGCAGAGAAAAGGAAGATGGGAAAGGAAGCAGGGAGTTGCTTTAGGACCAAATCCCCCACTGAAGTTGCTCAATTTTTGCTGCTGACCTCAATAAAGGGAGACTGGAGGCCATATGGAGCACGGCACAYCCAATATCTACTCCATTTACAGTGCCGCATCTTCTGCACTCTGTGACACTCAGGTCTCTTCCCTCTGGACTCTCTCACACAGTGGCAGGCATCCACTGGCACTCACGGGAACCCCCTCCACAGCAGGGTACCCTGGGGACAGGAAAAAAGTTCTCTTCCCAAGCAGTGAAGAGGGGAAAAGTCTTTCCTTGCTTTGACCTAGAATCCCTGAAGTTAGGGAGGACCAGGTGCAGGCAAGGGAGACAGCTAGTCTAGAGCAGCTGCCTGAACTCGTCATTACAGCCCCAGACAACCATCACTTCAGCTCACTGTTGCTGCAGAAATACCGCGTGTCACTTAGGATGGATGTTTCCACACTGCACAAAACCAGTCAGGGAGTGATGCAAGCGTAGGCAGGATGACTTAATTTATGTGAGTGTCCTCAAGGCTTTGCCTGGGTGCCAGAGCTGGCCGGCGTTGCTGATCCCAGGCATTTGCCCATAGATGGGTTTCTTCGCCTGCCTGTAAGTGGCTTTACTGTGCAGGAAGGGCTCTGGGAAATGAACTCGTTAGTGTGGGATTGCTGATTCTGAGTAATTACAGCAGCAGATCCCCCTTGGCTGAACAGAGACTCTGGGTTGGGTCAGAAGTTCCTGGAGAAAGTGATTAGTCAATTAGAAGTGCTTTTGGGGAGTTATTTACATGAAGCACCATCTCTGGGGTTGCCTTTCCTTAGCTGAGGTGGCTTCTTCCCCCAGGAGKCTTTGGACACTGAACAGAGCTGGCCAACAAAGGTATGGGAGCACTGACATCAGGCATTAATGGGCCACTGAGTGCCATAGTTCCCAGTAGAGTCACCTGGAGGGWCTGTGTTGAGGGGATGTCCCTCCGATAATGGGAAAGCGAATCCCCGCCCAAGCCTGAGTTCTCTCTGGGGCTGCAGGACAGATGCTACTCTGTCCTTGAAGGGGGACCACCTCTCATCCTCTGTCTGTGCCACTGGAGCCAGACTCATGGCATCTRTCCCATAAAGGCAACCACAGGCACTGCCACATGTGCCAAGGCCAAAATTCATCACCACAACTCCTCTCCCAGACCTTAACACACTGGTAGAGGTGAACCCTCATCTGGCTGAAGCTCCATGATCTAGGATGGGATGGGTTCCATCTCAGGCTTGGGGCTGAGGATGGTGGAAGAGATGGGCCATGTGCTCAGGGACTGTCTCCTGGGGCTCCATACACCTGTGACAGAAACTGTGGAGGTTTGAGGGCTGGGGTCCCAGTGACCCACAACAGCCCTGCTGCCCTTTGCAGAAGGGGTATTCCCATGGCATRAATCAGACCTGTCATCCTCATGCTCCTCACCCAAACCTGTGAAGTAACTTCAAACGACGTTTGTGCACCTGGAGTGGGGAAACGAACCGAAGCCAGCTTGGGGGATGTTTTGTCACTAGAAGAAGGACTGCTTGTGGGAGACAGAGCAACCTGTTTCATGGGAGATGGGGCTGAGAGGGAAATGAAGCAGAACTGTCAGAAGCCTCCTCCACTTCTCACCCAGTGACAGTGGCAGCCCAGCCCTGTCGATGCGCTGCCCATCCCAAATGATCTGGAAATTTGAAAAAGAAACACCCATACAAATCCTATTGGAAAAGCCCCTCTTTCTGCTCAGGTAAGGACTTCTGCTCTCATTTCAGCTGGAGCTTAAGCCAGGCATCTCCCTATATGGGATTCCACCAGCATTTGCAGAGTGGCAACTTGATCCATACTGTATTTGTGAACCAGTGAGTGCCCCTTGGATCCCCTCTCTGTTGTGACATGTGGAGTGTCCTCCCCACATCGTGTCTGCCCGACTCCTGCTGTGTTGGGGCAGTGCTCCCCTTCTACCCAATCTGCCTAGGAGAGATTTGTAACCTTCACTGTGCACTTCCCTGATGTACAGGACAAAGGGTTGTCCCTCTTGTTTGCATGGGAAGCCAAGGGAATAGAGACAAAAAATATGGTTGTAAAAATTAAAGAATAAAGTGAACCCATTGTCAGCACATGCTCAGAGGTCTGAATGGGGTCCCCATTTTCCTGGCTTTAGGGGTCTCCAGCATGATGGTCCTTGGGGTACAGCAGGGCTTTGAAAAAAAGCCCTGACCGTGGCTTTTATAGCACATTCCCTATACATGGCCACCTGCACCCTGGCCACCTGCATCTCCCCATGGCCATGCCAGGAGCTGGCCATTAGCACAAGGACTGGGGAAAGTTGGTGGGTTTGGGTTTTTTGTTTGTTTTTTGTTGGGGGTGGGGAGKGTGCCTGTCTTCGACTTTCCTCAGCAATTTCTCACTTCCCCCTGTGAGGCAGGAGCTATACTTCCTCCYCAGACTGACACCCACCCCACTGCCTGCACAACTGCCTAGAAAGGCTGGTGAAGCTGGGACTCAGCTGGCTGCAGGGGCACAGGGTTTCAGAGAGAGACAGGGGAAAGTCTGAGGAAACCCCTGGGCAAGAAAAAGCAGTTGAGGCTAAACCCCTCCCTCACTGCCAAATCACCTCAGCATTTCCCTAGACATTTCAACTCCACTAACCGTGTTTTGGTGGAGGTCATGAGCATATTTGAACTCCTGCAAGTCTCAGCAACCATGCTGGCAAAAAAGGAAAGAAGCCTTGGGATCCCTAATGGGATGTGGGTTTGTTTTCATCCATGGTTCTAGAGATAGGAGCCAGCTGGCCAACAGTGTGTGGCGGTGTGAGGAGAGGGGACACCTGGCTAAGGGTCTTCTGCAGCCGCCAGTCAAGTCTGCCAAACCCTTCTCAATCCCACAGGGTCCCCAGACTCCAAAGTCCTCAGCTTTGCTCCCTCACTTTCTCCTCTCCACTCTCATTACTGGTTCACCCACCAGTTCAGTCTCCTGACAGTTTACCCACAGACTCAACTACACCGACCTAAAGCACCCCCTGACCCCKGCAGACCCAGCTTGCCCCTCCGTGGGCTTTCTGTGGGTGCTGGGCCTTGACAGAAGCTTGGGCAGGCAGGGCAAGTGGGCACCATTTCATCCCATACCTGAAGTAATGCCCCGATGGCCAACATTCAACAGGGTCCATCTGTCCCTGTGTACAGCCTGATTCCGCCTCTTCTGCAAGAATGGGGCCGTGTCGCCACCCCATCGTCTGCTTGCAGGATATGGATCCCGTCCCATCCCACAGGACCTTTCACATCACTCACTTCCCAGTACCAAGCCGTGGCATGGGGACACGTGGGTGACCCTGCAATCCTTGGGGGACACCCATGGGAGGCTGGGSGTGGAGGAGAGAGGTCAGCAGTCCCGGGGCGCCTGCCACGAGGTGGCACTGACACCACACAGTGGCCTGCAGGGAGCAGCGCGGCAGGGCCAGTGTCCCACGGCAGCCGCGGGGACCAGGGAGAGCCAGGCAGGCTTGYGGCCAGCCCCACTTGTGCCAGATGAAAGGGTCTGACTGTCCAACCACACAGCCCATCACCATGGCTTCTGGGCTGCCCAGGAGAAATGGTCACTTGGAGCTGGACACCTGTGGGCAGAGCAGGCATGGGCTGGTGGCGCAGCCAGAGGCACATGGAGCTGCTGCTCCATCCTTCAACTGCACTGAGCATCTCCACCATCGTCCTGCTCCCTGAGCAGCCCGTTCCCAGTGGTGTCAGGCCTCTCTGGGCACTCTCCAGGACACGGACTTGCCAGCCAGCACCTCTCCTCTCTGTCCCCATGTCAGTTTCTACCAAAAAGGGAAATATTGTGCTACTCACCAAGCTCCCCTGGTGGAAAAGGCCCAGGGCTTGAGGGAAGGGGCTGGCCCAGCTCCTGTGCAATTCTGTCAGGGGACCACAGCCTTCCTGATGCTGCTCATCAGCATCCCTCCCTAATTGTTACCCAGTGCCTAATGACAGTAATTAGGAAGAGCGAAACTGCCTCGGGACTGGAAGCGCTGACGGAGTTGGGGGAGACAGATGGTGTTCGCACTTAAAGAAAGATTAAAAAAAAAACAACAAAAAATTCCACTCAGCTTCGATCAATCTCCTTTTCCTTTGCTTAGTGTCAGGATCACTTAGGTCCTCAGGCACTCCARGGAGATGCTGAGATGTTGCATTGGTCATTTTCAAACAAATGGCTACACACACACACACAACCCACAGCTTCTCTAGTATTTTAGAGTGCGAGGCCGCTGTGGGAGGGGGCACAGTTCCTGCCCAGGTACCTGGCACGGAGGGGGTTTCCTTACTGCTTTTGTGGGCTGATGCTCTCCCCTGGGGCCGCCCCCATAGCTCCCCGCTTTGCTGGCTGTGATCAGTGAGCAGTTTCTCTGGGGTGTAACGTGAGGGAACAGCCCAAAACCACCTATGGGGCTGTGGTGAGCAGACAGAAGCTCTTCTGGAAGAAGGAGCTGGCCAAGGGACAGCCCCGCATTCTCCCCATCATTGTGGAGTGTAGACATCACAATGGGATTTCCAGGGAGCACCCAAAACTGGTGGGGACCAGAGCAGTTGGACAGGGACTGTGATACATTCATTTTCACCTTCCTGGAGAAACCCCACCTGCAGAAAAGCCCCTCCAGACTCTTTCACACAGCCCGTTTCCTGAGCCCTGGGGTGATGCACCTGCCTCCAGAGCTACCTGGCAGACTGCAAGTGGATATGAGTGGGCAA